TCAGGCAATCCCCTCACCTCAGCCTCCCAAAGGCGCGGGATGACAGGCTGAGCCACCGAGGCCGGCGACTTTAGCATTTTTTGAACTGAGGACAGAAGAGCTATCTGAGGATGGCAGCTGTTCTAACAGGGTGTCTTACAAAAGCTGAAGATTGAGACTGAGAGTCGAGGAGGACTCTGGCCTGTTTGATGTGACACGTGGCTTTCAGGAGAGCAGTGTTTGCCAGAAGCCAAAAAGGGCATGTTTGGAGCTCGTCAAGAAAGGCTGGGCATGGTGGCTGACATCTGTAATCCCGGCACTCTGGGAGGTCGAGGCAGGAGGATTGCTTGAGTCCAGGAGTTTGAGACCAGTTTGGACAATAGAGCAAGACCCCCATCTCTACAAATAACAACAACAATAGCAACAATAAGCCAGGTGTGGTGGTGTGCACCTTGTAGTCCCAGTTGCTTGGGAGGCTGAGGTGTGAGAATTGCTTGAGCCCTGTAGTTTGAGGCTGTCGTGAGCTATGATCACAACACTGCACTCCAGCCTGGCCTACAGAGCAAGACTCTGTCTCGTAAAAACAAACAAACAAATAAATAAACACCAGGCACAATGGCTCCTGCCTGAAATCCCAGCTCTTTAGGAGGATGAGGTGAGAGGGTTGCCTGAGCCCAAGTTTTGAGGACAAACTGGGCAGCATGATGAAACCTTGTTTCGACAATAAATTAAGAAAAAAATTAGCTGGGCCAGGTGGTGCATGCCTGTGGCTGCAGCTCCTTGGAAGGTTGCGGCAGAAGGATCGCCTGAGCCCAGCGGTCGGGGCTGTGGTGGCTGTGAGCGTGCCACTGCACTCCAGCGTGGGCGACAGAGGGAGACTCCAGCTCAAACAGCAGCAGCAGCATCAGCAAACCCAGAAAGAAATAAGTCTGATCTTCCACAGACCAAGAGGGTCAGTTCAATAGCCGACCTTAGACTAGAGGGTAAACGCAGAAGAGATAACCAGAGGAACTCTAGGAAGAGTCTGGAGAATCAAAGGGAATGAACAGGGAGCCTCGAGAGGAATCGCGTGGAGCCAGCCATGCAGCGTCAAGCCTTGGTGTCACTCCTTAACGGCGCCCCTCACCACGGCTGCCCCGTGCCGCCCGCCATGGCTGGTGTGGTGTAATTGACAACGCACCCTGGGAGGGAGTTGGAGAAGGAGGAGTCTTTTAGCGAGGAAAAGACATTCGAGAAACATCAAGATTGAGAAACAAGACCTGCGGTAGGGATATTTTTGGATGGCAGTGTTTTGGGTGGGGGAGGGAGGATTCCTCTAGAGGGAAAAAGACTTTGGAGAAACATTGAGATTTCGAAATATGATCTGGAGCCAGGCTTGGTGACTCAGCTTGTAATCCCAGCACTTTGGGAGGCCAAGGCGAGTGGATTGCCTGAGCCTGTGGGCTCAAGACCAGCCCGGGCAACTTGGTGAGACCTCGTCTCTACAATACGTCAAAAGATAGCCGGGTGTGGCGGTGCGCGCCTGTCGTTCTGGCTACTTGGAAGGCTGAGGCGGAAGAATCACCGGAGCCCAGTAAGTCGACACTGGGGTGGCTGTGAGCATGCCACTACACCCCAGCCTGGCCACAGAGTGAGACTCCAGCTAAAAAAGAAAAAGAAATACGATCTGTGTCAGAGAGACTTTCCTGCTTCTTCCAACTTGGGATGACGGCAAAAAGTGAACCCGGAATGCGACAACTGACAGAAAGAAGGAGGTCCATTCCTTCCGAGAGAATTGCACCCTCTGGGCTCAGGCTGGGGCGTGGCTGAAAGAACCCCGCCTCTGCCGCTGCCTCCTGCGGGATGCGGGCTCTGAGTGCTGCGTCGGGAACTGGACTGCAAGACCAGTTCCCTGGGTGAACGGCAGGCAGACGGTCTAAACACATCGCCGCCAGAGACGTCAGAGCTGGGACAAGCTGGCTACCGGGACCTGCGAGGGCTCAAAAATCATTCACCGTGGCTTGAAGGGTGTCCACCACAGCGCCTTGCTGTTCACTTGGGAACGTGCGTCTGCTTCGTCTGAAACTCAAGAGCAGACTTACCTTTCTCAAGCAGGCGAGTTGCCACTTTCCTTTGGTCAGAGGAAAATGGACTGGTGGATCAGCAACCCGTGCCACCGAGGAGAGACAGTGCCCAGTCGTCAAGAGGACTCGATGGGAAGGAAGCTGGTGGACACGACCAGCCCACGAGGGGATGGAAGGGGTTCTGGGACTCCCTAAAGTTGCCTTTACCGTGATTCCTAGACTCAGCCATGTATTCTGTAGAAGTGTGACTTTTTCTCCTGCATATCTGTTAATTAACTAATTAATTTTTGAGTCAAGTTCTCACTATGCCACCCAGGCTGGAGTGCAGTGGTGTGATCATGGCTCACCACAGCCTCAACTTCCAGGGCTCAGGCGATCCTCCCACCTCAACCTCCCGAGTAGGTGGGATCACAGATGTGTACCATCATGCTCATTTATTTTTTTGAGTTGGAGTCTCACTCTGTCGCCCAGACTGGAGTGCAGTGGCCGCTCCCGGCCATCGCAGCCTCGACCTGCCGGGCTCTGGCGATCATTCCGCCTCAGCCTTCCGAGTAGCTGGAATTACAGGTGTGCGCTACCACGCCCAGCTAATTTTTTGATTTATTGTAGAGATGAGGTCTCGCCTGCCCAGGCGGGTCTCGAACCCGCGGGCTCAGGCAATCCACTCACCTCAGCCTCCCAAAGGCGCAGGATTACAGGCTGAGCCACCGAGCCCGGCAAATTTTATTTCTTGTAGAGACAAAGTTGCTATGTTGCCTAGGCTAGTTTAAAATTCTGGGGTTCAAGGATCCTCCCACGTCAGCCTCCTAAAGTGCCCAGCTTTGTTATTATTTTTAAAATAGAAATATGTAAAAACTTTATTTACTCTTGATCAAATCTGCAAACCCCGGTTCTTGGATTTTCCTCACAAGAAACAATGATTTTTAAAAATGATGATTTAACAAAAAAACATTTTCTTTGCAAATAACGATTGAAGGAAGGAAGTTGCAAAGACAGCACAGAAAGCTGCAGCGTAGCCTTTGCTGGTTCCCCTTAGGTTGCATGTTACATCACGACCGTCAATATCAAAACCAGGAAGCGTAGGTTGGTACATCGTGCACGTGCAGTCTGGTGTCATTTCGTTTTCTGAGTCAGAGTCTCCCACGTTGGAGTGCAGTGGCATGATCACGGCTCACCGGAGCCTCAACCTCCTGCATCCAGGAGATCCTTCTGCCTCGGCCTCTTGGGTAGCTGGGACTGCAGGCACGTGCCACCACAGCCAACTAAGTTTTTGATTATTTTGTAGAGACGAGGTCTCGCTGGGTTGCTAAGGCTGGTCTCGAACTCCTGGATTCAAGCAATTCTCCCACCTCGACCTCCGAAAGTGTTGGGATTCCAGGCGTGAACCACCACACCTGGCCTGTGTCATTTTGCTACGCTGGAGATCCATGCAACGACCCCTGCCTTGGAGATGCAAGCCGATCCCAGCGCCACTGGGATCTCGCTTGTGCTGCCTCTTTGTGGTCCACGCTCTTTTCTTTTCTCTTTTCTCTTGCAATGGTAAAAAGACACTTCTCAAAGATCCAGCTTCTCTCAGTTGCGCTAAGAGGCTCAAGGGAGGTGGGTTTGGGGCGTGCTCACCCTCAAGCCAGAGAAAGAGGAGCTGGATATCGGGGGGAGGGGGGATGCAGAGGAAGCCGTGGCAACGGGAACCACAGTGGGAAAACCCCAAAGAGGGGACAGAAACTTCAAAGGAGAGTCCCTGAGGGACCTTGTTCCTGGGGGCGCCGCTTCTGTTTCAAAACATCTCTCTCCCTCTACCCGGAAACAGAAAGGACACAGAAGACCAGCAAGCGCCTTCTAATTTTACTGTGCTCTGCCCGACCTCCAAATAGGCTGTCTGCAATCTGAATCCGTCTCCTTTATGTTTAATGTGGAAACAAGTTATTTCGTCTGTCTTCCTTGCTTGGGACTGAGTGAGAAATAGTTTTGGCTTAATATGCTCATGTTTTCTGGGTATCTATCTATTCATGGATAAAATGAAGATGTTTCCTGGCCAGGTGTGGTGGTTCACATCTGTGATCCCAGTACTTTGGGAGGCTGACGTGGGAGGATCACTTGAGCCCAGGAGTTTGAGACCAGTCTGGGCAACATAGTGAGACCTCGTCTCTTCAAAAAAATGGAAAAAAAAGTGAGCTGGGTGTGGTGTTGCACACCAGTTGCTCCAGTTACCTGGAGGAAGCTGAGGCAGAAGGACCACCTGAGCCCAGGAGGTTGAGGCTGCGATGAGCTTAGAGCTGACACTCCAGGCTGACTCTCTAGCCTGGGTGTCAGAGTGAGATTCCGACTCAAAAAAGAAAGAAAGAATTTCTTGATCTCTCTTAGTCAGAAAGCCAGAACAAAGCTAAATTGAAAACAGAAGAGCCAGGAGTGGTGGCTCACACCTGTAATCCCAGCACTTTGGGAGGTGGAGGCAAGAGGATTGCCTGAGCCCAGGGCTCGAGACCAGACTGGGCAACTTGGCAAAACCTCGTCTCTACAAGAAATCAGAAAAATAATTAGCTGGGCATGGTGGCGCACGCCTTTAGTTCCAGCTACTTGGAAGGCTGAGGCGGAAAGATCGCCTGAGCCCAGCAGGTCAAGGCTGCGGTGGCCGGGAGCGTGGCACTGCACTCTAGCCTGGGCAACAGAGTGAGACACCGATGCCAACAAAAAAAAAAAGAAAAGAAAAAGAAAAAGAAAAGAAATACATACTACGGTTCTGTGCTTTTGCCAATTTCACCTCCTCCACTCCTGCTTCGCTTCTGAACACATTTCTGATCATTGAAAAATGGCAACAAACGGACACTTCTAAGTGTGCTGCACACCATTAGAGTGTGTTTTTGTGTAGAGGGTGAGACAAAGTTTTCTTCTGTAATTTCTGTCTAGGTCCACAATCCTGAAATCCAAACTGCTCTAAAAGCTGAAAGTCTTTGTAGACGTTGGGCACCGAAGCTCACTTAGTGGCAAAATCTGACCTGAATGAATGGGTAGCGGCTGAGCATCTTTACCTCACTGGTTGTGAATATTTGTTTTTCCAAATAATTATTCACCTGTTTTATTAAAGGGTGCTGCCCGGGACCTGCTGGGATAGCCCATGACAGACAGTACGATACGTTGCTGTGATGTACACGGTTTTGAATGCTGAGCAGCACTCGGTCCTGAGGGCATCAGGTAAGGGCTTGTGGGCCTGCGTCTGAGCTTATGCGTTCATCATCTCTCAGGAATGTTCTGGTTCTGCACAGTCATCCTAAGTTTGGGTCTGTGTATGCCAGGGCACCTTAAGTTCTTCAAGCAAGTTCAGAACAGTCACTTGGGCCCTAACACCACAGTTTCTATTACAAATGCTTGTAATGCCGATTCCAAGTTTTGGGTCCCTTATTTATTTACGCATGAATTTATTTATTCATTCATTTTAGAGACAAGGTCTTATCTGTTGTCCAGGTTAGAGTGCAGTGGCACAATCATAGCTCACTGCCCTTTTGGACTCCCTGGGCTCCAGCGATCCTCCTGCCTTGTCCTCTCCAGTAGCTGGGACGACAGGCACCACCGTGACCAGCTATTTTTTTCATTTTTATAGAGACAGGCTCTCATGATGGTGCCCAGGCTGATCTCGAAGTCCTGGCCTTAAGTAATTCTCCCACCTTGGCCTCTCAGTGTGCTGGGATTACGGGTGTGACCCACTGTACTTGGCCCTGTTCTGACCTTTAAGTGTATCTTAAAGAATGGAAGTGATTTAAAAATACTGTTAGTGATTCAGCTTAGAGCAAACGTTTCATGCCATTCCTTTCTTTTTCTTTTTCTTTTTTTGAGTTGGAGTCTCACTCTGTCGCCTAGGCTGGGGTGCAGTGGCATGCTTATAGCCACTGCAGCCTTGACCTGCTGGGCGAAAGTGATCCTTCTGCCTCAGTCTTCCAAGTAGCTGGAACCACAGGCGCATGCCACCATGCCTGGCTAATTTTGTAAAAATTTATTGTAGAGATGAAGTCTTGCCGTGTTGCCCAGGCTGGTCTCGAACCTGTGGGCTCAGGCAATCCTTTCGCCTCCACCTCCCAAAGTGCTGGGATGACAGGTGTGAGCCACGATTCATACTACTCCTGTCTTAAGGTGTGTTTAGAGATTGGAAGGTGAGCTGTTAAAAAAGCGGTTACATTCACAACTATGTGTGTGGGAAAGTGAGGATTTTCCTCATATTGTACATTCAAAACAAAATGCAGACATGTTTTGTTATCCATAACCTGACTGCAAATGTGTGCATACATTTACCCGATTTTGTTGCCTTCCTAAGTAAATACTTTAAAGATGTGACCTTACTAAGTATTTTATATGAATAAAATACCACTTTTAACTAATTGTGCACCCTGGAATTTGTCACAAAATTTTATTTGCAAAGGGTTTTATTTGATCACCCAGTGGTCGAAAGACGGAGAAGGAAAAGCATTGCTAGAGACGGCTAATGACTGTGTCCTCTGCAATCCTTGGAGGAAAGTGCCCTGGGGAGTTTCAGTTACAGAATGTGGGTGGGACTGTAGGGAAGAGACTGCTTCCCACGGCGTCCGTCCACGCCGTGACTGACACAGACTCTTAGTGGCCATCAACAGCGGGGCAGAGAATTATCTTGCTCAAAGCTCGCCGGACTCTGGCCGAGCGACTTCTGGGCTCAGTCCTCCCTCTCCGCCATCTCCTGCTTGATCCAGTCCACGTAGCTGAGGAGTTTGGTGTAGAAGCCATACCCCCTGCTGCACCCGATGCCCCAGGACACGATGCCCGTGGCCACCCAGCGGTCGCTGTGCCGGTCCCTCACCGCAAACACGCTCCCGCTGTCCCCCTGACAGGCGTCCTGCTTGAGAGTCGGGTCCCCGGCACAGAACATATTCTGGGAAAACACATCCTCCCGTTGTTTTTCCCGCAGCCAGTTCTCACACGCCTGGCGCCTCGCCACGGGCAGACGCACGAACCTGAGGTCGTACGAGAGCTTCTCCTCCGTGATCCCAAAGCCACTGACGTAGCCCATGAGGCCCCAGTCATAGAAGGTCTCGTTGTCGGGGAGGCAGATGGGCAGGAGGTTGGGGCCCAGCGTGACGCTGTTCTCCAGCTCGAGCAGGGCGATGTCGCCCTCGAAACTGTGGGAGTTGTTCTGCCGGTAGTCGGGGTGGACGCTGACCCTGCGGACCGGGTGGTTGCCCAGCTTGGTGATCTTTTCCACGTTCGTGTGGCCCAGGAACACGTCTACGGTGGCGTTGCTTTGCCCGGCCTGGTCCTTGGGGTAGAGGGTGTGAGCGGCCGTGAGGATCCAGCGGTCGCCCAGCAGGGCGCCGCCCCCGCGCCCGTGGATGTTGGTGAAGGCCTGCCAGGGGAAGTTGCCCGGCCGCGCCACTTGCCCGCCGATGATGCGCTGCTTCTGCTCCACGGGGACCATGGGCTTCCCGCACACTGGAGGGGGACGGGGACGCAGACGAGTCAGCCCCAGGCTGCGCCATTGCCTTGTGCTCAGCCTGGCCGGCCCGCCTGCCCTCTTCTGGGCTCCGGGCCCTTTCCGTCTCCCGGCTCCCCCCGTCCTTGGCCTGCTGTCGGCCTGCTCTCCCTGGGCTTGTTTAATTCTCCCCGGGGCCTATCTCGCTATTTTTATCCCCTGATTTCCCATCAGCTGCGTGCAAGGGTTGGGGTGTCCGGACTGTGCCCTGCTCTTGTCCCTCCCCCTCTCTCCCGGGGTCGTCCTCCCAGTACCCCCCCCCCCCGGCTTGTCTCCCTTCGCCGTGTCTCGCTGGCTCTGAGGCCCCGCGGGGCTGCGCAGGGGGCCCCACTCACCGGGCAGACACCGGGGAGCCTTCTCTCCGCTCAGCTCATTCTTCCAAGTGCCCTGGGCTGTGCAGGTGTACATCCCTGGCGGGGGCAGGGATCGAGGTAGGGGGTGAGTCAAGACGGCAGGAGAACCAGGCTGCCGAGGCCTGTGAGCACCGAGTGGGAGGGAGACGGGCTTGGGGCGCCAACCCAGGCAGGGGTCAAAGGACAAGTTCAAATCGAGAAGGATGACCACCACACGTGTGCGCGGTTCTGTACCTGTGTTTTGTGTGAGTGCTACTGAAAAAGTCAGAATGCTTAACTATATATTTGCAGTGACCCCTAGTTATAAAAATAGACATAAAACCCAGGAGTATGTCAAAACCTTACCAGCAATGGTGTCTGGGTACTGGGACCGTGGATAATACGGCGGTGATGTTGCCCGGTGGGGGACAACGTGCCCTGTGTGCGGCCACACCCTTCCTCTGCGTTATCTCCTTAAGCACCACAGTGACACTCTCAGGCGTGTCTAACTCTCTCATTTTACAGACGCGGAAGTTCAGCTAAATACTTTGCATGTGACTTCTAGGTGCCAGAACCAAGCGTGAAGGGAGGGTTGTCTGCCTACGAAGCCCAGATCTTAATGAATACCATAGGTAACCCGGATTATTTTCATTTTTTAACATGGTCCAAACCTACAATGCATGTGATTTCTTTCTTTTTTTTTTTTTTGAGTTGGAGTCTCACTCTGTTGCCCAGGCTGGAGTGCAGTGGCACGCTCATGACCATTGCAGTCTCAACCTGCTGGGCTCAGGTGATCCTTCTGCCTCAGCCTCCCAAGTAGCTGGAACTACAGGTGTGAGCCACCATGCCCAGCTAATTTTTTAAAATTTATTATAGAGATGAGAGTTTGCCAAGTTGCCCAGGCTGGTCTTGAACCCCTGGTCTCAGGCAATCCTCTCGCCTCAACCTCCCAAAGTGCTGGGATTACAGGCTTGAGCCACTG